GCAGTAGGGTAATACAGATTTTTAAAAAAACATCAATGAACATCATAAATCACATATACCTTTGCCATCCCAATTGAAGTCGAGTTCAACTCGGTTTGACCGTGATTGGTCTTATCCCCTCTCTCCCATATGCCATAATCCTGTAGGTGTGGCTTTTAAATGGGTGTGGTCATACTCGGCAACTTACCGGTGTCCTATAAGCAGTTTCAATGTAGAATATCAGGTTTTGTATAAAGTCGACTTCGTCTAAGTTATACACTATCTGTATGCCTGGAATGACAAAAATTAAAACAATTTTTATTCCGCGTACATGTACATGTATTTCTCTTACCAGAAGCAGTCATTTGAGCCAGTATCAATAGAAATAGCGACGTGGCATCGATTTGTAGATGGCCCCATTCGTAATCACCAACAACACTAGCACAAGTACCTAAAAGTATGTACATGTACATTAGACATATTACATAAACTTACATGTACATGTACATATACACTTACATGTATATGCACATGTATATACATGTACTGTATAGCTGGTAATTCTGAAAATTTAGCATTTTAATGGTCATTTCTAAAATTAGCCATTATACGCATGCTCAATGGCACATGGCCACAATTTTGCCAAATTAAAAACCGCCAATCCCCAAAAATTTTGCAATTCGCCAGAAGTTTTCTCCTCCAAAATTACCAGCAGTATACATGTACATATGTGTACATGTACATTCGTACTCATGTTGAATTTTGCATGAAGTGCGTAGTCTTTATTAAGAGTTTTCTTGAAAGCCTCAACTTTATCTGCTTGCCCTAACATACACAAGAGCAAGCTCCTCATCAACCTCACGGCATTCTATGAGAAACGATTTTAAACTACAATAAATGTATTATTAAAGTTACTCTATTTATAAGTCATAAAATTATTTCCTCTCGTTGCACGAAATCACCATAATACCTTTTCAAGTTCTTTGGCCGCTTGCTTGTCTTCTTCACCCTCCCCATGGCCTCTGAAAGAGAGTGCCATGGCCCAAATTGAGAGAGCGCAGTAGACGTTATCGCGAATCCAAGCATGGCCCTGAAACTGACCACCAGGTATGCCATCTTTAGTAATAAAGGCGGGAAGAAGGCCAGTCACAGGATCCTAAATACAGATGTACATGTATATACATTAAATTTTAAAAATAATGCAGCTCTTTATGACCGAATGTCCCCTTTTCTCTTGCCTGGTAGCATAGTATGGTCTTCTCCAATAGATTGTGATACTTGGCTAAAGAGGCGACCTTGGAATCAGTCCTTTTCCTCCTCTTGTCTCTGACTTCCCTTCCCGCCATCTTGAGCGCCAAGATATACGGCAGTGAACGGAAGCAAATACGGGAAAGAAAAGGTTTCCCGCTAAAATCAAGTAATTCAAAATCACAAAAGGAAATTTTGAGTTCTTGATAGAATCCTTTATCAAGCCAATTTGAAAGTTATTCATGAAAAGACTGCAGCTGTGCAACGTTTGCAAATAATCAACTAAGTGCTTTTATTTTATTAACAAAATGATATTAAGATGCATTAATTTTTATCTTTAAATGATTGAAATGAAAATTATTAATAATGGGGATCTATAACAATTAATACACACACAGCAATAATAATAATAACAATTAAATTAAAATCCCTATAATAAAATTATTTGATATATAATATCCTAAAATCTAAGTACAATAAGAAACATTTATTTAAAGTGTGTGTGTGTGTGTGTGTATGTGAAGTTAGTACACAATTTCACAGTTTATCAATAAGGAGGAAGAAAAGAATAAAGAAGGAGAGAGAAAAAAGATGGAAGGAAATTTCACTTTATAATAATTAATAATAAATCTCTAAGTGTTTGAGGAGGAGTAGGATCAGCAGATAAAAGAATTGAGACATTGAGAGAGAGAGAGGAGACATAAATAGGAGGACATCTTAGTTGTCACCTCCTTCAGCAGGAGCTTCTTCCTCTGTAGAAAGAAAAAGAGAAGACATCAAAAGTGAAGAGAAAGCACAATGACAGGTAGCACAATACATGCACATACACAGCTAAAATAATCTCATCTACATTGAGTATTGGTTCACAATTATTATTACCTTTTGGTGTCTCTTCTTCGGTCTTAGTTTCTTCGGTTGCTGGAGCCTCTGCTTCCTCTGTCTTTGGTTCTTCAGTTGCTGCTGGGGTTTCCTCAGCTTTTGGTTCTTCAGGTGCTGGTTCCTCGGCTTTGGGCTCTTCAGCCTTTGGTTCTTCAGCTTTTGGCTCTTCGGGTTTCGGCTCTTCAGCTTTAGGCTCCTCTGCTTTTGGCTCTTCAGCTTTTGGTTCCTCGGCTTTTGGCTCTTCGGCTTTGGGTTCTTCAGCTTTGGGTTCTTCGGCCTTTGGTTCTTCGGCTTTTGGTTCTTCAGTTTTTGGTTCCTCGGTTGTTACTTCTGCTTCGGTTGTAACCTAAAATAAATACGGTCAATACTCATGATCAGTGCACGTGATCCATAACATACAGCAGTGGCTCCTTCCTTTGGTGCATCAGTAGTTTCTGTGGGTTTGGCTTCATCAGTAGCAGCTGCTGCTTCCTCTTTCTTTGGCTCCTCCTTCTTCACTGGTTCGGGTTTCTTTGGCGGCTCCTCGTAAAACTTTTCTCTTGCTGCTACTAATTTCTCGATCCATTCCCTGTCAAAAAAAGAATCAAAAACCTCAAAAATTAATCCAAGAGTGCCATAGCCTACTTGGCTAGTTCTGGTGTTTCTGCAACAAGATATACAAATTGGTTCTTATGATTGTTAAGTACAAAGCATCTCTCAGCAGCTATGTCTGCTGGCCATCCAGCGTTGTTGTGGTCAGAAGACCTTTCTACTACACTGGTACAAGACTAAGAGAGAGAGAGGGAGAGGGAGATGTAAAAGAGGAATAAAAAGAAGGTTGTATGTATACCTTGAGGAAGTAGTTGAGGTTAGTGCTCTTCTTCTTGTCGTCCTTGAATGATCTCAAGACTGCTCCCTCTTCCTCAAGTGCTAGGAACTCTGGCTTGAATTTCTTGAATAGCGGTCCTATTAGAGTAGCTGAGAGAAGATATAGGAAAATAAAAATAAACAAACGACCCCAAATATCAGTATAGAAGTACATGTATACATGTGAGTGTGATCATAGCTGAAGTTAAAGCTCACATCTTCTGATGATAGGTGACTCAAACACAACTTTACGATCAACAGGAGGTTTAGCTGGCTTTGCTTCTGGCTTAGCCTTAGCCTCTTCCTCTTTAGGAGCTAAAGAAAAATGAAAAAAATAAAACTGAATTTCTTTTAATTTTTTTACCTTCAGCTCCACCAGTTGCCTCATCAGTTTTGGGTTCTTCGGTTTTTGGTTCTTCCTCTTTTGGAGTCTCTTCCGTCTTTGGGGCCTCCTCAGTCTTAGGGGCCTCTTCGGTCTTTGGGGCTTCTTCTGTCTTAGGGGCCTCTTCAGTCTTTGGGGCCTCCTCTGTCTTGGGTTCTAAAATTAAAAAAAAATTAATTAATTAATAAAAGTAAAGGTTGCGGACCTTCGGTAGTGGTTGGTGTTTCTTGAGGCTTGTCTTCAGCTGCGTCAGACATTTTGAAATTTAATTATAAACTACAAAAAATGATAATATACCATAAATAAATGAAATTCCCAACCTGTCATTACATACAATAATAATTATTATGATAACGATACTACGACTTTCAAAACTGTTATCAAAAGGGATCGCACAGAAAACAACAACGACATAACAATATACATACACACATGCCTCCCCAAAACAAAGTAGCATAGTACAATATAATTACTAGCAAACAGTAGTACACATTAGTAGTAGAACACAATATGCAAATTGTAGGCTTCTTAATGCTTGCAATACAGTACTGGTGACATAAATAAGCATGTACATTGTATATATACATATATAATTAATGAGAACTCATCTCCTTGATATGATACATGTACATGTAAGCTAATTCATAGAATGCTAATGGGCAGACATGTGTAGAATTATCAGAATTAAGAGGGAGACAGAGACAATGGGAGAGAATTGGTGTTAGTATACTTAACACATTCCTTAGTACACACTGTGGCAATGCTCACACAACTGGTCAATTAGCGACCATATAAGGAGAGAACAGGGATCCTATACTATACTATACTATACACACTATTGAGAGAAGAGAATCACTGGACAAGGAGAAGTGGTTACTGGAGCATTGATAAGTATAATGTCAAGCCACAAGAAACAAGAACACACACATGTGCTCACACAGAGATAGATAAACATCAATATATAGTCAATAGATTTATACAACCACACAGAAGTGCACAGATTTTACTACATTTGAATGCAGTAGATCTAAATGTACATGTACATGTAGCAATAGTTCCAATGAAGTATAGGACAAGACTATAAAACCAAACCTTTTACACTTTATTGTTTATGACAATATAATGTACTATAGACCCATTGAGTATCTACAATATCATTAAACACTTTAAATAATAAATATACATGTACATGTACATGTAATAAATATACAGCTTACAGTACATGTTAAAATGATAAATATACATGTATAATTGATTGTGAGTGACCCATGTACTTGAAAAGCATTCAATACTTTTCAAAAATACCATAATCAAGCCCCAAATATGGTCAATGTCATCAGAGAACAAACGATAAACACGAAATGAAGAATAAACTGATTGTTTTGGAACAGGGAGAGAGAGAGGCAGAGAGAGAGAGAGAGAGCGGAGCAGACTGGTAGAGATATTACAAAGGAGGCCCCCTGTTGACATTGGGTTTAACAAAACACTTAGCAAATGCAACCAATGTGTATTTGGGTGCAAGTGTATGTGTACTTTAGAGGATTAGAGACTAATAGTACATATACTAAGAAAGGGCTATACACGATAATGTGTTTAAGTATCAGGCAATGTGTACTTTGGAGAATTAGAGAGATGACTATAAAGTGAGAGGATATGGGAGGCTAGAAAAGGAACAGGTTGTAGTCTATCGTGTCTTACAACTCCCAAAAGAGTAGACAAAATAGCACAAGTGGTCATAACATACAAAATAATAGTGTCCCACTCTCTCCTCTTTTAAAAGTTTTAAAAAACATCATACATGTACATGCATGGCTGCTCTTATATAAAATTTGCTTTTTTAGACGATAATTACTAGATTTGTCATTAATTATCGTAGGATGGGATACAAATGATCTTCACTTTAGCGATTAGCAGACCCAGTGCTACTTCTAATGCATTGACGCCTTTTACATATCGCCACACATAAAACCTGTTTGTCAGGAAGGCCAGGGAAAAAGGGAACGTGTGAAACTACTAACGAGGCAGTCACTGCACAGGTGGATGGGTTGTCATGGGAACTTGGTAAGCATGTGACCACTGGTTGTGATAAGAAATGTATTCTTAAAGGGTAAAGGAGGGACCAGGGGAACTAAAATAATAATTTTTAAGAGTAACACATGGATTCATGCATATTTTTAAGGTTGGTTTTTTAATAGGGGATTCTTAGGGTAGGGATTTTTACTAAGAAACAATGGACATATTAAAAATGGGAAAACAGGCCAATTAGGTATCAATTTAATTCAATAAAAGCGAGAGATGCACATGTATGGCTGGGAAACCAATGATGACAACAAAACCAGCTCTCTCTCTCTCTCTTCTCTGCCTCTAAAAGGCCCTGTTATTGAGGCGCAGGCTAAGGGATTTTGTAAAAGAACATAGTTATTGTCCCCGCCATTGCAAAAACAAAGAGGATTAGTAGGACAGCAGGAGACCAGCTGCAAAACTCACCTACACTGCAAAGGCAAAGAACGGCAAAGAGAGAGCTTCAAGACAGGAACAAAATGGAGGATGAAGGAGATAGTCAGGTAACAAAGACACTTCTTGATCCGATTCGTCTGCTCCAAGAGAAAAGATCTCAACGTCTTCCTGCGAAAGCCTTTTATAACGTGTCCGAGATCACGTGATCGCCTCCCGGTTGCATAGCAACGGTACAATAAAAATGGCCGACAATAAGTAGTTTTTGTACTATCTGCCCCTTTTCTTCTCTTTTTTAGGCATAGCAGGAGTTTTTAGAGTCTGAGGAGAGAGAATGGATATTGAACTAGCCCCTATATTCTATAATCAGGTATGAGACATTCCATCATACCCTTAATGTCAATTTTTGTATTTTTAAAACATCATAAATTTTGTGCTAATTAAAAATTAACTCGTACCACAAAAGTATTAATGTGCAATGTGCATGTATTTTTAAAATGTAGTCTCTGCTTTATTGTAAGGGCACAAATCAATAAAATTGATTTAAATCTAAACGACCTGCTAATGTACACTAATACTTGACCATATATGGTCGTGACACATGCCAGCACTGGTATGTGGTTGGCTACAGTTATTTATAGTAACATTACTATACTCCCTTATAAGGAGTTGGTTTAAAAATAGCAGAATTTTGAGAGTACCTTATTTACTGATGACTTTATGTAACAAGGAATGTATTTACACATGTAGATAATGTGATTTAATGTGTTAGTTCTGACCTGTACTAGCTATACATTATTAATTTATTATAATAATTAATACTTTTATGTGTATACAGACTCTGTGTGTATAGTTATACCTTATTGATACATGAATTGCTAAATAGAGATCAGACTATAGTACATGTGCATGTACATTTACATATCTTTAAACCTTATTTCCATCTCTTGGGTAGAATGTACATGTACATGTATCTGATATTCTTAATTGCCTTTTGTTTATATGATGTATCATACTTTTTATATCTCTAAATACTTTTTATTTATGATGTACAGTATGTATATGTTGAGTTACTCTTCCAGCTTCTCTCACTCTCTCTCTCTCCCTCTCTCTCTCTCTCTCTCTCTCTCTCTTTCTCTCTCTCTCTCTCTCCCTCTCTCCCTCTCTCTCACTCTCTCACTCTCTCTCTCTCCTCTCTCTCTCACTCTGTTTCATTGATGTGTGTATGTATGTTATGTACATGTTAATGTGTTGCATGTGTGTGTGTGTACTTAGGATAAAAAGGATTAATAATACAAGATGACATTTAATTAGTGGAATAGTAATGAGTAGACATGGAATGTCCTAATTGTTTACAGCATGAGCATTGATTACTCTCTCTCACCCTCTCTCTCCCTCTCTCTCTCTCTCTCTCCCTCTCTCATTCCCTCTCTCTCTCTCTCTTTCTCTCTCTCTCTTTCTCTCTCCCCCTCTTTCTCCCCTCCATCAGGTTGGTGCACTATCTTCTAACTGCATGAAAGTGCTCCCTTCCACAAAGAAAAATCCACAAAAAGTATTTTAACAATATAATAATGATGGCATTATAAATATGCATCTATCCTTTCACTCTCAGATAGTTGTGGGCGATCAGGATGGCGTCCTTACAACGTTTGGAATGAAGAAAGGTGATCCACAGATTGTATTTAAAACACTTCCTGGACCTCCTATAGCTACATTGCAACTCAGTAAGGAAAGAGAGAGAGAGAGAGACAGAGATCAAAAGAGAGATTGATTGTTGCTATCTTTCAAATACTACTTGCTGTAATTTTGAGTATGAATGGGACATGAGAGAGAGAGAGAGAGACAACAATATTATTACCCACTAGCTAATACAATATGTAGGTGTTTGTGTGTATAAATATGGCGTGTGTGTATACGTTATGTATTTGATTTGTTTGTGTTGGTCATATTCATATATGACTAATGGACAAAACACAGGACATCTGCGATTGGTTCAGGATTGTTGTCCTCACTCAATCTTTTGACATATTATTTTGTTAATTACATGACACCTCTAATCTTTCATTCGCCCTTCCTTTCATCTCTTTATGTATTTGTATCTCGCCTATTCTTTAATCTCTTTATGTACTTTCTTTCTCTCCTCTCTCTCTCTTCTCCTTCTCTTTCAGATGGTGCTCCTGGCTCTGTTGCTGATAGAATATTTGTCTCAGCCGGTGCTGAAGTTAAGGCATTCACAAAGAAAGGGAAACAGTTCCTCTCGTTTGATAGCAACCTCACGGAGCCCATTAGAAGCATGTGAGAAAGAGAGAGGGGGGGAGAGAGAGAGGAGGGGGAGAGAGAGAGGAGGGAGAGAGAGAGAGGGAGGAGGGAGAGAGGGGGAAAGAGAGAGATGAGAAATAATGTACATACAGTAGTAGAATTTAGTACCATAAATGAATGCATAAAGAAGGTAGAGAACATACACATGTACACTATAATAGAATTAACAGGAGGTAGGTATGGAGGTCAAAGTAGCAAGGAGACAGGCAGACCAAAAACACTGTATCACACACACACACAAGCCATGATAGAAGACTGGCCATAGTAAAACACATTATATTAAGAAAACTACAAGCATAGTGTGACTGATCATGATTGTCTGATAAGGCTACCAGTGTACATTATGTCCTTTGTACATTAATGTAACTCTATTCTTCACCTGACCCTCTGCAACTTGTAGTACTGCCTACAAGCCTACAACCAGTACATGTTTACTGGTAATGCTACATTATCTCTATTTAATGTTGCCCTCATTACATAAGCTGCTATATTAATGGCAGCTAGTGTATAGTTCCACCTTTTCCCACTTATAGAGGTCAAAGATTAATTAAGATACAATGTGTATGAATGGATTCAGCATATAATGAAAAGAAATAAGATATAATGTGTGTGTGAATCCCCATTAGCAATACTTAGTCAGGCTACATGATTTTACCATTAGTTTATGGCTGAATGGAGTTGTTTTAGAATTTAATATGTTAATGAAATTTTTGGTGTTTCAACATAGCATATACATACGAGCTGTACAGTGTACATGTATTAGTATCAAATGGTATATGAAAGGTCTGTGAGTCAAAGGCTACTAGTTTCAGTCTCTATTGATGTCAAGTGTGAACAAACCAACCTACACACTTTAGGGTTTAATTAATTAGGCAACCGCATGCATTAGAATATTATTAGGATATTATTAGGATATCATTAGGATATTATTGGAATATTATTAGGATATTGTGTTGTCATGTACATTGCTAGTATATTCTTAATACTGAAACTATTATCGTTGTCATTGTTATTGGATGATATAGCATGGAAGCATTGAAAAGGAAAGCAATATACAATGTGCAGTATGTGTATACTCACTATACTCTAATGTACCAGGAGCTAGCTTCAATCTACGTGTATATAGGCCAGTATATGATCATTCAGTTATTTAAATATTATTATTATTAAAGGCTGGGCTGTGTGTTTACATATGTACAAAATACTTAAAATTAGCATTCGATTATATCTTATTATAGTCTGTATATTATATTATATTACTACTGCAGTACATTTATACTTAGACTCTGTTTTTATTTAATTTTTACAAGCCTATTGCAGTGTATATACTGATCGAAACAATATTATTATAATAATTATTATTTATTTTTATTCATTACTTAGGTATGTAAACGGCAGTCACTTATACACAGTCGGTTCATACGTGTTCAATCATTACGTTGACTGTATTGACACTGATTATTACTTATCTGCTGACACCATTAACTCTGTCATCTGTCTACCCGAGACAAGCCACGCCTCTTCCTCGGCAGCCCGAGGGTTGGTACCAGTACTGGCATGCGAAGATTGTGCACTCAGGGTCTTGAAGGTGGGTGGGGTTTGTTGCTATGGTGACAGACTAATGAGAGTGTTAAATTTTCCTGTAATCACTATTGCATGTAATTGCATGTACACGTACATCTAGATGCATGTAGATCATGTACGTGTACATGTATTTTTAATTTCTTCATATAAAGGGATCTGAGCTGTTGTATGAGTTAGAAGTTGCTGGTCCTCCTACCACGGTTGCTCTCAGTGAAGAAGGTATTTCGGGGATGGATCTGGTCTGATTGTTATAGTTGCAACTTTTATAGGCGGAGCTGGGCGTGGTTTGTTGTACGGTACGAGTGACGGAAGACTAGGACTTGTTAAGATACTACTGTACGTGTTATACATACATGTACATGTACATGATTATTTTTTCTTTCTTTTTCTCAGGGATGCTCCAGAGTATTGCTGGGATATGTTAAACGAAAAGAAATACGGGAGTAAGTGCATATACATGTACATGTAACCTAATCATGTATTTAGTACATGTGTATGAGGCACATACACATGTACATGTACATACACACCATTCCTTATGTACATATCATATTTCACTTACTCTAAAATCCTTCTTGTGTAATTAATTGACCACTATTGTAGGTGTGTACATGTACATATTGCAATACAACCATGTTTATTATATTGTATAATTATGTTCATTATTGTATTCATGTTTTAATTCTTATGTTAGTGCATGTGTTTTTATTGAATGTGTGTGTGCTGGTTTGTTGGTGTGTGTGTGTGTGTGTGTGTGTGTGTACATGTACGTGTGTGTATGCATGGAATGTGGTTGGTAGTATATTGTAAGATGAAATGTCTAGAGATCACTGGAGAGAGACTAAGCTAGTTTTTACAGCCACT